AATGAGTATAGCATTTCTGTTGGAGTGAAGAAAAGTTCTGGAAATGGATAGAGGTCATAGTTACACAACACTGCATGGTATGACTTGTACACTTTAAATGGTAATTTTTAGGTTATTTATATCGTACACAATAAAAACTATCTTGGGGTGTTTATTCATATTATAAAAGGTTCTCTATGAGTCTTTAAATATACGCTCCCGATGCTTAAACCATTTCACACAGCTCTTGGATTCACATCAGCGACAGGTCCACTTATAATTGATTATATAACATCTGTAGTTCATCTCAGTTGGTTTTTGAAAATAGGTTATTGAAAAACTGATACTCAGTTGGGACAAAGGTCTTAGCTTTTCTCTGCATCCAGGTTTCCACTTGTCAAAGCAAATGCCTCTGCAGAGTCCTCCACGTCAGTCCTCGCTAGCTGCCCTCTTAGCAAGAGGATGCGGGTGCTTATGCTTCACAAAAATATTTCAACAACATGAGCTTCTCTCTTTCTCACAAGGATTATACCAGGAGGAATGAGGAAAACAGATGTTGCTCATAAGGCTCCTAATAGACGTGTTTCCATTGTAAGCTGATCTGACTCTGAATTTGGCATCTGCTCCATTCGCTGTGGTGGGCTGAGCGTTTAGCCTCACAGTTTGGCTGAAAGTGAATAGTGACCTTTGACTGTTACCTGAAAACTCAATGATAAAATGCTCTCACTAAACCTCTCGAGAGGGTGACTTCACATTCTAAGCACATGTCTTCAAAACACATCACTCCATTTACTAAGTTAATTTTATCATTTGGTTGGGAATACTTACTTATTTTATCTGATACAGAGCATTCCCCAAATCTAACGGGAAAAGCCTGTGTGGTCAGAATGGCAGAGGAGAAAGGACATAAATCTCATATAAGGCTCCCTACAGGTCATTGTACCACAACTTCTCAATTAACCTTCATCCGCCCCCACGCCCCAGACTGCCGGGGCCTAGGTGGGAATCCTGGAAGTCTGGCTAGGAACAGTTTCTCATTACCGTCTGTTCTTCTGAGGATTTGAGTACCACTGCAGCAGCTCAGGTTTCCCCTAGAGGGGAAGGAGCCCCAGGCCCCACCTAATATGATGTAGCTTATTTGTAACTACAACACTCACTTTGTTTTATAGTTTTATGGCAGTATAATTGACATACAGAAAACTACACATATCTAATGTGTACAATTTTACAAATGTTGACATATGTGTACTCCTGTGAACCCATCACTATGGACACAGCCATTACTAGTATATCCACCCTCTTTTGTCACCTTGCCCTCCTGTCTGTCCCTTCTTATTCCCATTTGGATTGTTTCCAGTTTGGGGCTTTACAAATAAAGCTGTAGCATTTATTTACAGTTATTTGTGTGGATATATGCTTTCATTTACCTTGGGTTAAATACCCAGTAATAGAATAACTGGGTCATATGATAGATGTATGTTTAACTTTTTAAGACACTGACAAATGGTTTTCCCAAGTATCTTATCATTTTATATTCCAATAATCAGTATATTAGTGTTCCTGTTGACCCACAACCCTTGTCAACACTTGGAATGGTCAGTCTTTTTTCATTTTAGCCATTCTAGTGGGTGGGCAGTGGTATCTAATTATGGTTTTAATTTGCAGTTTTCTAATCACTATGATGTCAAACATCCTTTCATGGGCTTATTTGGCATCTTTTTATCTTCTTTAGTTTATTCAATACTTTTGCCCATTTTTTGTTGGGTTGTTTCTTGTTTTATTTTTTTATTAATTTTTATAGGATGAAAAGAGAGAGAAAAACATCAATTTTTTGTTCCACTTATTTATACATTTATATGTGCCCTGACCGGGGATCAAACCCATAACCTGGGCATATCAGGACACTAACCAGCTGAGCTACCCTGCCAAGACTGTTGGTTGTTTCTTGTTATTGATGTATAAAAATGTTTAACTTGGCAAAGTCTAAATTATATTTTCTTTTATAAAAGATTGTACTTTTTATGTCTTACTTAAGAGATCTTTGGCAAATTCAAAAGCACTAAAATGTTTTTCCAATTTTTTTCTGAGTTTTATAGTTTTAGTTCTTATATTTAGATCTGTAATCCATTTCAAATTAATTTTTGTAGATGATGTGAGGTAAGGGTTGAAGTTTTTGTTTGCTTTACATATGGCTGATCTAAGACCATTTGTTTAAAACACTGTCCTTTCTCCAATGAATTGCTTTGATATCTTTGTCAAAAATCAATTGACCATATAGAAGTAGATTTATATCTGGACTCTTTGTTCAGTTTCACTAATCTATTTATCTAGCTTTGTGCCAATACCATAGCATCTCCATTATTTTAGTTCTATAAGTTTTTTAATCAAGTAGTCTTCTTTTTCAAATTTGTATTTTGACTAATCTAAGTCCTTTGCATTTCCACATAAATTTTAGAATCAACTTATCCGTTTCTGTAAGAAAATCCTGCTGGAATTTTTATTGGCATTTTGAATCAATAGAAAAATTTCTGCTTAGCTGATAACAATATTGAGTTCTCTGATCTATGAGCACTCTGTATCTCTTTAATTATTTAGATTTCTTTTATTTCGGTATATTTTGTCATTTGCAGTGTGCAAGTCTTACACCACTTTTGTTAGATTTATCCCTAGATTTTTCACACATTTGATGGTATGGTAAATAGTATTTTAATATCATTTTCTAATTGTTCGTTGCTAGTATATACAATTGCTTGTATATTCACACATTACTAGTATGGAAATTCAGTTGGTTTTTATATAATGACCTTGTATCCTACAACTTGACCAAACTCATTTAGTAATTCTAATAACTTTTTTGTAGAACTTTTTTCTCATAAGATTTTCTACATAGGATTTTTCCGATTTTTAAATTAAATTTATTGAGGTGACACTGGTCAACATGAACATACAGATTTCAGGTGTGGGTTTCTATGTTATAAGATCTGTATATTGCACCATGTGCCAACCACCCAAAGTCAAATCTCCAGTCACCATATACTAGTACCCCCTTTCGCCCCTCCCCCTTCACTCTGGCAACCACCACACTGCTGTTTGTGTTCATAAGTTTCAGTTTTATATCCCACATAAGAGTGAAATCATACGGTTCTTCGCTTTTTCTGACTTATTTCACTTAGCATAATGTTCTCAAGGCCCATCCATGTTGTTGTAAATGGCACTATTTCATCCTTTCTTATGGCTGAGTAGCATTCCATTGTGTATAGGTACCACACCTTCTTGATCCTTCAATCTTAACATTATTGATATTATAGGATATTTAGCAGCATCCCTGGACTCTAAATGCCAGAAGCACCCCTACCCTAGTTATAATAAACAAAACTGTCTCCAAACATTGCACCATGTCCCCTGGGGGGCAAAACTGCCTACTATTGAGAACCATACACACAGACAATCTTGCCATCTGCATGTAAAGACAGTCTTACTTCTTTTTCAGTCTTGATGCCTTTTATGTATTTCTTTTGTTTGCCTGTTGCACTGGCTGGAGTCTCAAGAACAGTGTTTAAGAGCAAACATCCTTGCCTTGTTCTTTATCCTATGGGGAAAGAATTGAGTCATCAACTTTAAGAATGATATTAACTGGAAGTTTTTCATAAGGTCCTTTATCAGGTTGAGGAAATTTCCTTCTATTCCTGGTTTGCTGAAAGTTTTTATTAGTGGATGTTGAATTTTGTCAAATGCTTTTTCTGCATCACTAAGATGATCTTATGGCTTTCGTAATTAATATGGTAAATTATATTGATTTTTTTAATGTTAAACAAACTTGCATTCTTAGGATAAACTCCTCCTGATCATAATTTATTATCTTTTTAAATATACTGTTGGGTTGGATTTGCTAACATTTTCTTCAGAATATTTGCATCATTTCTGAATACGTTATCAGAATAATTCCGGCTTATGGAATGAATTGGAAATATTCCCTCCTTTTCCATTTTCTAACGTATTTGTATAGCACTGATATTTTTTTTTCCTTAAATATTTGTGACACAATTTGGACCTGGAATTTTCTTTCTGGGAAACTTCTTAACTACAAAATTAATATATTTTCTTTATTATCCTTTTAGGTATAGATTCTATAGTGATATCACCTCTCTTATTCCCAATATTGGTGGTTTATGTCTTGTCTCTTTTTTTCTTGACCAGTCTGCCTAGATATTTAATTACGTCCCATTTGGACTCCCACTTCCATCTTCTCAATTCAGTGAGACTGTCAAGCGCTGCCTGGTGGTTCTCCTTGTGTTGTGGCCTGGTACCCCCAGGCATGAGCTGGAGCTGTTTATGGCTTTCCTTGTATGTCCTTTCGTGGATCATTTGTGGCTGATGTGCAATATTTGAAAAACTTTTTTTCATGTATATTGTCTTTATCTTAGTTTTTCTGGAGAAAGGTAAATCTGGTTCCTTTCATTTCATTTGGGTCAGAAGCAGAATCCTCAAAACTGTTTTCCACTCTATTCTATTTATTTTGTTATCAGCTGATCCATGGTACTTAACTATAGAAATTATCTTGCTCTTACTTTGGGGATGAAAGGGAGATGTAGGGTCCTTCCTAACTTTTCAACTCTCAAACTTGTACTTAGAGAGACATCCAGATGGTGGGATTTTGTCCAAAACAATATGCTAGGAATAAAAGCACAGAGGAAATCCAGAGAGACAGGGAGGAGGATAAATAACTAATAACGCCTCAGCTATAAAGACCCAAGAAAATATTATTTGGCCAGTATTTCTTACTCACAGTCACCTCAAAGCTAAAGGAAAGAGTGATAGTTTAGGCTTAGAAAGTTAGTTGCCATGTCCCACCTCGAGCTCTTTAAAAGAAATATCAGGGGCAGCTCATGATGCTTGGGGGAAGACCTCCCCACCAGGCTGAAGACGGGTGTAGGTGTCTAGACTGTTTTCTGGTCTGACCCAGTGACATTTCCGATGCCGTTGCCTGGTACTCACGGTCTTCCCCTTTGTCTGTGTTTCAGGTTTCCTGTCTCAACTGGTGTATGACAAGCCGCTGACTGAGTGCATCCGTGCTGGCCACTATGCAGCAAGCGTCATAATTAGGCGGACTGGCTGCACCTTTCCCGAGAAGCCCGACTTCCACTGAGGAGGCACAGGAAACCCAGGTCAGGGGGCACAGATACTGCCCCACTGCTTCCTGGGAATCCCCAGCGTAACACAGAAGAAAATGATCTGCCACCTTTTCCTACATAATAATGGTCAATCTTAACTTAGAATGTGTAGTAATGCTCAGTAGAATCTTTATTCTCTCAACAAACTCAGAAATGATTGTTTATTTCCATAGTGTGATAGTGCCACTTAAATGTCAATTAAACAGGAATATAACATTTCAATAGAAATTTTTATTTCATTTTCAATTACTTTGTAAATTCATGTGTATTTAGCAAATTGATCAGGTTTTTTTACATTTCTGCTTTGAATGCAGGTGCAATTTAATATAATAGATATTTTTAAAGGAATTAACCCTAACACATCAATCTTTAGCTTTTTATACAAGTATATTTAATTTAGGGATGTGTGTGTGTGTGTGTGTATGTGTGTGTGTGTACACACATTCATACATAGATGTACCACATATACACACAATAAATAGCCAAATAAGGTACAGAAATATTTACCTTGCCAAGTTATGCCAAATCATCTCTTCAGTGTATAATCAAATATATCATAAACTTTGGATAATTAAATAACTTGCCAAATTATAAATTATAATATTCAAATCATAATCTTATATTTACTTATGGTACTCTGTAATTTGATACAAATAAAAGCTTGTGATATGGGAATTTTTTCTGTCTTTGCTCTGTCAGTACTCAACAAACTGAGAAAGAAAAATCATTATTTAATATTGATCCCTGAAATGATATCGAATTTGTTACTGGAGATAGAAGAACAATATAACACATTGAAAAATAATAATATTGGAGACCAAAACATCACTGTTTTAAGGAAGATGAAATGGTACAATAGAACCTCAGGAGTCAGACTTACCTTCCCATGATCTTGGGAAAATTACTCAGCCTCTTTGAGCTTCAATTTCTTTTCTGTAAAATGGAATAATAGCACCAATGTACAAGGTTATTGAGGTGATATGAGGGAGAAAACAAAGTATAAAATGCTTGGTACAATGCCTAATAATTGCTTAATAACTACTTACTATTTTTATAATGATTATTGTTGAAGAAAAAAGGATAATATTTATAAAACTGAATTAAATCATAGAAAAAGGTTCAAGTTTTTGTTTTATGTTTAGGTAAACTTTAAGGTCTCCAATGCCTGCTTGTCCTTTTGGAGTATTATTGAGATAATTAATGTACCAGAGAATCTTCCATTTTAAAGGATACAAATCAGTGGTTTTAGTATATTCACAAAATTGTGCAGCCATCACTGTATCTAAACCAAGCACATTTTCATCACCCCAAGAAAGAAACCCTGTACATCCCAATTCACCCCATTCTCATCCCCTGGCAACTACTAGTCTATCATCTGCCTGTGTAGATTTGCCTGTTTTGGACATTCATAAAAATGGAGTCATATAATGCGTGTTCTTTTGTGTCTGGCTTCTTTCACTTAGCATGTTTTTAAAGTTTATCCATTTTGTAGCCATGTATCAGTACTTCATTTCATTTTTTTCTTTTTGCCAAATAATATTCCATTGTATGGATATACATTTTGTTTATTCATTCATCAGTTGGTGGAAATTTGGGTTAACACTTTTTGCCTATTATGAATACTACTGCTATGAACATTCACGGACAAATTTTTTTCAATTTTGGGGGGTATATACCTAAGAATAGAGTTGCTGGGTCACATGATAACCTTATGTTTAAATTTTTGAGAAACTGCCAAATTTTTTTCCATTATCACCAGCAAGGTTGGAGGGTTCTAGTTTCTTTCTGTCTTTGCCAGTCTTGATATTATCTGTTTGATTATAGCCATCTTAGTGAGTGTGAAGTGATATCTCATTGTGGTTTTGATTTGCATTTCCCTAATGACTAATGACATAGAGCATCTTTTCATGTGCTTTTTGGCCACTTATATTTTCCTTTGGAGAAATGTCTATTCAGATCCCTTGCCCATTTTTTGTGTGATTTGTCCTTTTACTATTGAGTTGTAAACACCCTTTACATATTGTAGATATGTCTTTTACTAGATATACTAGAGGCCCTATGCACGAAATTTGTGCAAGAGTAGGCCTTTACAGACCCGGCTGCCTCAGCCCTTGCAGCCCCGGCTTCATCTGGAAGGGCATCAGGACAGTCCTGCTGCTGTTCGGCCATTCAGTCGATTTACATATTACGCTTTTATTATTATAGATGATTTACAAATATTTGCTTCCATTCTGTGGGTTGTGGTTTTACTCTCTTGATAGTATCCTTTGAAGCACAAATGTTTTGATTTGTTTGAAGTTCAATTTATCTATTTTTTTGTCAACTGGGCTTATGGTTTCATATCTAAGATCATTGCCTTATCCAAGGTCACAAAGAAAACAACCTATGTTGTCTTCTAAGAGTTTTTGCTCTTATGGTACATTTAAGTCTTCAATCCATTTTTAGTTTACTTTGTATGTGTGTAAACTAAGTATCTTGCATGGGAATGTTCAGTTGTCCCTGCACTCTATTGTAAAGATTATTTTCTCCACTATTGAATTGTCTTGGCACCATTGTCAAAAATTAATTCACCATAATGTAAGGTTTTGCTTCTGGAATCTTGGTTCTATTCCACTGGTCTACATGTCTACTTTAGGCCAGTCCAGGCCATCCTGATTACTGTAGCTTTGACCAGTGTTGAAATCAGGAAGTGTGAGTCCTCCAACTTTGTCTCATGAAAAAATTAGTTCAAGCCTTAGCTGGTCTGGCTCAGTGGATAGTGTCGGCCTGGGGACCACAGGGTCCGGGTTTGATTCCCATCAAGGGCATGTCCCTTGATTGCAGGCTCCTCCCTGGCCCATGCCCTGGTCGGGGCTCGGGCAGGAGGCAACCAATCAATGTGTTTCTCTCACATTGATATTTAAAATACCCTCGGGTGAGGATTAAAAAAAAAATTTAGTTCGAGTGGTAGGGTATCTTTATCATATTAAAACTACTACAGAATGTATTTCTCTTAGATAACTAGGACGGACACTGATAAACCTTTTCCTAGTTGTTTTTTCTTTTTTTAAGAGAAAATATCTTACCCCAAGACTATTGATCAAGTACACTCACCAACTAGGCTTTTCAAATAGTCACTATTTTTAGAAGTCCAAACAACCTTGGCTAGAAGCTATTATTCTTACCCAATTTGGGGGAGCAAGCATTGTAATTTTTCACTCTTTCAAACCAGAGGTGCATAATATAAAGATTGTTTTTGGACATACACAAGCCTGCAAGAGAGGCATGTGTTTGGCTGATAGTCTAAAAATACTGCCAGTGTTGAAATAAAAATATGCTCATTTAATAATATTTCCACTGGATAAAATAGGTTTAAAATGTTAACATCTTTTATGATTCAGTAGTAGTTCTGTGTTCAAGGTCTTGGCTTTGTGTCCTCCTGGACAAGCTCCTGAACTGCTCTGAGTCTTGGTTTTCTCAACTGGAAAACATATCCAACCCCAGTGATATATGAGGGAATGTTAAGAGAATGTATGAATAAAAACAGTTTATATGAATAGGAAAATAAATTTAAATATGAAGTAGTTTGATGTTTTACGAAGGCACCAAAGCAATCTAATAGGAGGAAGTCTTTTCAATAGACAATGCTATATAACAACTTGATATCTCTACGGGGGGTGGGTGTGGGGGACAAATTAGACATGGGTCTGGCCATAACATAAAAGCTAAACTATTATGCTTCTAGAACAAAGCATAAGAGAATATTTTCACAGCTTGGGGGTAGGCAAAAGTTTCTTAGAGACGAATTTGATACACTAACCATAAAAGAAAAAATATTGATGAATTGAACTCCAAAAAAACAAGCTGCAGTCCAGGATAACATACTCACAACACGTATCTGATAAAGAGCTGACATCCAGAACATACAACAAATCCTCTGTTGTTGATAGCTTCCTGAAAACGGCTACGCTAACCAATTTTGCCATGGGTTAACTGACGCACAGACGTGTACCTTAGGAACTTAACTACTTAAATCAGTCAGTCTATGGTAAAATTGTTAGTTTGGCAGTTTCCAAGAACCTATCAACAACGTTAAGCGAGAACTTAACTGTATTAAAAAATCTTACAACTCAATAATGAAAAGACAAACAGATGACCTTACAAAGGAAAATACATGAATGGCCAATAAGCACGTGATAAAGTATTCAGCATCATCAGTCACAGAGAAACAGGATATTACTGCACTAGAATGACTAAGAGAAGTGACAACACCAAATGTTGGAGAGGGTGTGAAGCAACGTTGCTAGTGGAAGTGTAAGATGGAACGAGCTTTGGAAGAAGGCCTGGAAGTTTCTTATAAAATTAAGCCCATCTATTCTTTGATCCAGCCATTCCACTCCTGCTATTAACCCAAAAGAAATGAAAGCACATGCCCACTGAAAGACTTGCATTAGACTATTTAGAGCAGGGCTCTTCATTGTTGCCCAAAACTGAAAACAGTGCAGCTAACAGTAGGAATAGAGATTAAAACTGTGGTACAATCAAACAATGGAATAATATTCAGCAAAAGAAATTACCGATGAAATGATCTCAAAAACATTTTACTGAGTGAAAGAAGCCAGATATGAAAAAGTACAGGCCACAAGATTCCATATATATGAAGTTCTAGAACAAGCAAAACCAACCTCTAGTGAAAAAAATCAGAACAAGAGTTGACTTTGTGGGAGGGGGAGAAGTGGAAACTGACTGGAAGGGAAATGGGACTTGGAGTTGATGGTGATGTTCCAGCCACGATAGGGCTTACACAGATGTATGAATTTGTCAAAACTCGGGGAATATTTCACTCAAGTTGCGTCATTTTTTTAATCTGACGCACAAATAATTGAATTCTAGTTAATGATATGCACACTGGTAAAGTGTATTTATGTCTTAAACTTACAGTAAAGGGCATCAAAAAATGAATGGAATGATGAGAAGATAAAGAGCAAAATGTTAATTGTAGAAAGGTAGTCAATAGATGGATGTTTGCTACATAATATTTTTCAACATTTCTGTCTGGTTGAAGTTTTCCCAATGTTGGAAAAATATGAAGTACTTAATTAGAAAAACCTATTAAACTTGACTGATAGCATCTCACGAAGAAAATAAAACAGTAGATAACAAAACCATATGTATTATTTACTTCAACATGTAACTTTGTTCGTGAGTTCCAACACAAAACTAGCCAGCCTTGTGCTGCTGCAGGGTCTCTTGGGGCCACCACATCTCCAGGCTCCTGTCTGAGCATGGGACACCTTCTCCTCAGCCCTAATCTACCTGGCAGTTGGAACATTCGTGAACCACCCCTGCAAACACCAACCAGACATCTCCCAATCCAGACCCTGAACTCACTGACCACAGGAAAACTTCGATTGTCAAATCCAATAACCGGTTTTCAGTCGTTACCCGACCTCTCCTTTTCTCAGCATCTGACTTAGAGGAAGGACCACACTCTCTGGAAACTTCTCATTCCCTTGACTCTGACACTTCTCCTCATCCTCTTGCCACCTTTGCAGCCTCTTCGGTTTAGGACACCTCCCCTGTCCTCCGTGGACACTCTACACCCACAAGCCTTTTCTCTCCATATGCTCCTCCTAGGTGACCAATTTGACTTCCACGAATTCATCTCTCACTTGATAACTCTCAAATCTGTTTCTGACCCTAATTCCCTCCTGAGGTTTAGGCTTGAAACTCACCAGTCAGCCCCTGGGGATATCCCGCAGGCCCACTGATTGTCAAAACAGAGCTCGCCTTCTCCTGAGCACCCAGGTCCAGTAAGTTCCTCCTTGTTCTACCTCCATTAATAGAAACAATTCTTTGACTTTATCCCTTTCT